TTCATCCCTTACAAGGATCAAATGCAATCATGTTCTTTACAAGGCATATAAAAAAGGTTTATATTTTATTTGAAGCATGATTACTAGTTGTAAAACTAAAACTTCAATGTTAACACTAGAAAAAGAGAGATATATTGGCTTAAGGAAAACCTTTCATGTATCATGTTAAGTTGAAGATAAGAATAGCTAAAGTTTGCCGAGTACAACTTTGATTAAATCTAGTATTGTCAAACTTTGATCAAATTATGCTAGAAACAAAATGGTTAAACAAGTAACAAATGAGGTTATAATTCAAGCAGAACCTCGGCTTTCAAAACAAAACAATGCATTGACCAAATACTAAGAATACATGAGTTTTATTCATCCATAAAAAAACATTACATATTATAAAAAAAAATTTAAAAATCTACTAAATCATAAAAAAAAAAAATCAGTCATCGTTCTTCCAATAAAGAGAAATAAAAACTCATATTTAAACTTGTACGGATGCACAAACCCTATTTGAGTTTACAAAGTTGTAAATTTTTACTAAAATTATAGGAGTCCAACCTTTTTGTTATGAAGACTCAACTCAACAGATTGTATCACTGCGTGTAAAGCAACTTTGGCTTCATGGTCTTCTATTTTCTTATTCATTTTAAAGCTTTGAGCAAAAAAGATAGTCTAGGGGATTTATCATTTACGCAAGGAAAAAAGTAGAGTGTAAAGTTGAAATTTGGTTGAGCTAGGTAAACTTGCAACTCGTATGAGTGGAACTTGCGAGAGGCTATAGTGTATTATTGAATGGCCCAATAATATTTTTAGGAGAGTTCAATAATTAAAAAGTCTCAAAAAATGTTAAAATAATCCATGAAATCAAGGTCCATGCATGAGGTAAACACTCACACGTGAAAAAGGTATGTCTTCTATAGAAAAAAAAAATAACGAGATACGGGAAATTTTTTAAAAAAAGAATGAGTTTATGATCGAAAGAGAGGATGTAAAATGAAGGAACTACTAATAAATGGTATGTTTAAATAGGTTTACAAGAAATGATGAGACTTATTTTATAATAGATAAATCGAGTAACCTTACACTTTGCAAATTAGAATTCAATCATTAAGTTCGAAAAAATTTCTTTCCATGCATGAGGTAAACACTCACACGTGAAAAAGAAAAATAGTAGATGTTATACAAAAAATACGAGTCTAGGCCTCCACACCCGATAAATATGATCATCTAAAAGAGACATATTGGATAATTGAGGAATTAACATCTTTTAGTTAGGAGTACATGGATCATGGATTCTTGAATCACGGTGAAATGGTTAGATGAGATAAACATGAATGATAGCTTTCCTAACGACCATAAAAAAGATTGACGATAATAAAACGTGAAAATAACAAAGAGTTACCATTGGCGAGACATGATCGTAGGAGTTGCAAAGAGTCGCAAAACACTACAAGGGATCATGAAAAACTAAAGGGTTAAAAATTCAAGTTACAACAAAAGAAAAAAAAATCATCCAACAACCCAACAATGAACTCAACATCATTTACAATAATAAAACGCACTCATAGCACTTTTACAAGTTTCAAGACATTTAAAATTTATTAGGCGGTAACTTGTATGTTGTAGTGAGTATATAGCAATCAAAGTAGGTTGATAAATTTGAAGGTTGATGGTTTGGCTCTCTAATGTCTTGTAACTACATTTCTTGTCTATAATCTTCAACAAGCTGGATTTACGTGCAAACATCATTGTTGGAAGAAGAGTCCTAGTTTGTAAGAAATATTTTTAATTAATAAACACATTTTTTTAAAACTTTTCACATTGTCAAATTTGTAATCAAACTTTTTTTGATTTGTTTGTTGTTTGATTTCAGAGTTAATAGCATGAGTCTATGTTTTTTATTGCTAAAAACCTTAGAAAGTTTAGATTATTAGTTTAGAACAACCATTGTTCAGAATAATAAAACTTGCAACTTGCATATTAACTTGTCTCGACATATTGCAAACTTCACTCAAGGTTTGCAAAGTGATTTAACCTCATTTAATTTAGTTTTATACTAGAGAAAATATAAAAAATATATTTAGAATAAGTATTAAAATACATGAAATAGTGAGTTTAATTTATAAAAACTCAGAGTTTAAAAGATAGACCACCTTGCATATTATTATTTAACCAATCAATTTTTATTATTTTATTATAAATTTTTTGACGAACAAGACAGAAACAGTAGTTTGCAAATAAAATTAAAATAGGGAATAGCCAAAAGTAATTGTGTTGCCTTGACGTTGAAATCAAACTAAAAGGCAAAGCCAAGATCCTCAACTATATTCATGGTTTGTCGAGAAGGTCACGAAGTAGCGAAAGCGAGAGCCTTTATCATCCAGATACCATTTACCCCTTCGGGTTTTTAGTTGAATGTTTGAAATATTCTAATTCCAGCTTGAATGAGAAAGCGAAATTAGCAAATTAAATTAAGTCGATATATGATAATGAACCGAAACCCCTAACCTTCTTGCCTAGAGTGTGTTTATTATTTGACTATTTTTATTTTAATATCAACCGTTAACCACTGAATGACGGAAGCCTGTTTCGTTGGAAACTTGAGAGAGATTTTTGACATTTTTTTTTATACCATACCTGCATACACCACTCCACTCCTTGAATCATTCTACATTTTTATATTCGGTGTCTTACCCAAGCTAAGTCCATAAATCATTTCACATCTTTTCAAAGTACTTAAACTGTGATTTCGTCCACGTTTAAATTATTCCCAACCATGATTTTCTTTTTGTGAAAAAGTCCAAATAACCTAACCAGTGTCGTTTAGATTAAAAAAATATATATTTAAATAGGAGCCTTTATATTTGGGCATAAATAATCTAAAAACACAAAACCATAGACGTAACCCTTTAATTGGTCAATGAAACCAGATCAGAAAACAATAATTGAGAAACTGAGGACTATCTTCAGCTATATAAAAAACTGATAAGAGGCTGGCTGTTTCCTGGTCGAAATTAAATAAATTCAAAACAGTTGTACATGGACCAGCAAACCCAGACCATGGCCTTAACCCAATTTCTCGCTCGGGGGTTTATTCACTAGGAGCAAATAATGAACGGAAAATACCGCGAGATATTGGATTTTGGAGTAAGAAATACTTACTCGTGTCGCCAAGTTGGAATTATTCTGTGTCCGGCCCACGTGTAAATCGAACATACGAATTTAGACACTGACTTGTCAAAATCAGAATATGCCATCCAGAGCTAAATTCTCCCGTTGTTTCTAACTCCACTCCTAATTTTCTTCCTCCACGAACAGGTTTATTTCACTTGGAATCATAAATTGTCAAATGGCTGAACGGAGTGTGATTATTTATTTATTTGGCAATCATGGTCTTAGGTTGCAGAAGTGTTCTGACACAACTTCGGGTTTTTTTATTAGAAATTGATTGTGCATGTAAAAAAAAAAACACTTAACATTTACTTTTTTTTTTAATGGATATTTTGAAATCAATACTTCTTAAATTAAATAATTTAAATTATATTTTATAAACAGCACTCATCAGTACCATATTTTTCAAATAGATTTTTTATATTTATATTATTTATTATTTTCTTGATACAATCTTATAAAATAAATAATTAAATTTATACGTATATTTCTTTTAGAATTTCATAAAATGAAACTTACATTTTACAATATTATAAAATTTTATTTAATAATCTATGCATGCAAAAAAAATTCTTTTTTTTAAAAAAAGAAGGAAATCTTAAAAATTAATTAAGTTCTAAATTTTGATGAAAAAATTATAAAGTCAAGGGATTATTTTTTGGCTTTGCTTTCAATATATATGAATAGAGCCACACGAAGACCCATTAAATAATAATAATATTTTTTGAATCAGTTCATATATTCCATTAGTCTAGTACTAAAAAAGCTGTGGATTTCCTTTTTAGATTAAAAAGGAAAGATATCTTTAACTTTTTGTTTCAAAATTGACTAACATTCCAAGGTTTGGGATTTTACTCCTGGTCCACGTTTTCAATTGTGTAGGACACTGCACCCATTGACCTTCGCCAACAGGACATAGCAAAACTGCTGCTGATCTTTGCCATCAATCAAATGCCTAGGCCCAACTAGCTAGTACTTAGAAAGGACGCGTGCTGAGTTGGGCAGAAAGTATTCAAGTGGGCTTTTAACGTTTAGAACACCTGCAAGCCTGCAACTCGGTTTTTATTATTATTTTGTTTTGCGCGACTATGTGCCTAGTTTTCCTGAGATCGTAACTTACAAAGGTTGAAACGACTGCAATCGATAGAAATTGTCAGCTAATCTTTGACGTTGTTACACGATGACAAACTGTTACAAGTACCAACCAAGGGGAACCCTTCAGCTTGAACCAACTTCCAAGTAATTTCAGCTGAGCCCGGCTAAAAAAGAAACCGATTTCGGACAATCTTATGTAAATTTGGAGTATTATTAGCACATTGCAATGCTTAATGTTTTTTTTTCGTTTTTTGTTTTAACTTTATTGCGAAGGTCGTTTGTTTTTTGTAGTCTTCTTTCAGAGTTGCAGTCTCACTTTCTATAGTCAAATCTGTCACATTTTCAGTTCCCAAAAAAAAAAAAAAAAAACTGTTATTTTAAGCTAAGAAGTAGCAACATAACTATATAAGGGCTTCGAATGTCAAATTGTAGATAAACAAAAGTTTTGATGGACACAGCCAGGCACAGGCACAAAATTATGTTTAGCCACAGAGGAAGAAGAGACAAGGCCCGAGGAAACTTAACGAAGAACCTCCTATCATTCCTTAAATTTCAAAATTTCACCAAGTTTTATTTTTTCCCTCCTACGAAAGTAAAACGATAGCATAAATTTGGTACTCTTGACTCCCTCAGGGTGGCTTTACTCATTTCAGCTAAACTGTCCTGCTTCAAAATGAGTAAAACAACCCTGAGTAATCCAATAATTAACATATGGATTTAATGTAAACAGTCTACTGCGAACATTAATTAACTAGAATGCAATCAAGTAAGGCTTCTTCCACCAATGAATTAAAAACCTCAACCTCCAACTCCAAAGCAACCTCTTCTTTTTCTTGATCCACATTTTCCCACTTCCCATTCTTCTTCATATCTTTAATGTAGACTTGCCTGCTCTCCAGCACCTCCCACCCCAAAAACAATTCTTTAGGCTGCCCATTAATCCAATCCTGTGCTACTTGTACTTCTTGCTCAAATTCTTTATACGATCCTACCACGCTTCCACTTGCATTATTTTCCACTATTTTCTCTTTGAAGAAGTCTAACAAAAGACTATCTACCTTAGGTGCTAAGCTATGTGATGCTATTGTTGATTTGACATGCTTAAGTAGCTCCTGTGCATCCTTTTCAGTTCCATTTTCTTTAGTTTCATTGAAACCGTTGTCATTATCGCTGTGGATAGACATTGAACAAGGTTGCAAGGGGGAATCAAGGGATTCATCCTCCAACTCTGCCATTGCAATCCGCTTTTCCAAGTCTACAGGGTCTAGTTGAGCGAGGCTCTCAAACCTTCTGATCTTTTGCATAAGCTTTTGTTTAGTTCCTGTTGATCACATATTCAAATCTTGTTAAAAAGTGAATCCCAACGGGTAATCAGAAGAAAAATAAAATAATAAATAATACGTAGACAAACACCAAAGCATCAAATATCAACAATTTTATTTTTATTTTTTTACTGCAAAATCGGCTGCCCCAGATGGTCTGCACAAATTGAATAGAATGAACTTATTTCAAAATCCTCTCTCAAGAAAAAGTTACTCGGATAAGATGATCTTTCGTTAGCTTGTCCACACAATGTAACCATATCCCTTTCGAGTGTGGGTTAATAGAGCTCGGTCCCATCCTATAGAAGTTCCCTCTTTGGACCCTGTTTCAAGGGCCCATAACTTGGCTATAGCATTAGTAGTTTTCATGGAAGAGGCAACTGCAAGTCTACTACCTGTCTGTCTAATAGGCCACTTAATTGCAAACTCATCACTATTCTATAAAAAATTTCACAGAACGTGGACACTTTTTGTTTGTATCAGAGCTGTCAAATCATTGAGAGATGGGGAGAAGGGTACCTTCCATGCGGATAAGACTACGTTGGAAAGGAGAGCTAATAATGATTTCTTCTTCATCATCCTGGAATGGACAATCCAGAATTGAAACTGGACTGAATTGCTCTTTCTCCTCCTCATTTGACCACTCCTGTTACATTACATAACTATTAATGCATTAAAACCGCGCCTCTGCAATAGAAATTAAAAAATAATAACTAGGAAAGAAAGGTCTCTAGAGACAGACTCCATTAAAAACATAAATAATGCAGTTGGCTTATATCCAAAGCCCATAATAAAATGGAAGGTCCCAATTTCAATTCCTTACTCTCAATAATTGGATAGGATTGGATTTTATGGAGACTTTTGAAAGCAACGTAACAATAACGTCACATGTTCAACATTGTCCACAACACCCAGGCAATTCACCATGTCCATGCATTCAAATAATTCGAAACTGGGTAACCTTAGTCTTGTCGTCATTTTCTTGCTCTTGGAGACAAACCTCAAGCCCATACTTTCCAGTGCTACGAGGCAGAGTTTCGTGAGTTCAATTGAATTATTTTCTTGGGCGACTTGCAATTTATTCAGTTAGGTTGAACTTTAAATTAATTTGCATTATATATATATAAGAGTAAATGATAGTAAAAGAGAAGTGGGTGATAAATAAAGCCAAACACACAACGAGGTATGCAAGTCTTTTTTTAATCAATGGAACAAATCATTTGATTTGGACAAAAGTCGCTTAACCGGACACAACCTATTATTTCTGTAACACTACCTTATATTATGTAATTTTACTCAAACTGATCAATCATTCTATTTATTTACTTATTTATTTTATTTTTATTCTCACAAGACAAATTAAATTAAGGAAAAGGAAACAATTGTTATGATATCCAAGACTGGGTGAGTAAAATTTTATATTGCAAGAACCGGACAAAAATCAAAGGATTTCAATATAGTAAACCCAAGACTGGGTGAGTTGGCTAAGTCAACCTGCTACTTGATTACAACATCACATCTGTCCAGCTATTAAATTAATTTTAATAATACCACATTTTAATGTTGATTAATACTTGCCTAAACAAAACTAGGATTTGAATAATTCTCCAACCACTAGCCCCAAATTCAATCTCTACAATCTTTATCAAAAATAAAAAATAATCAATCTCTGCATTATTCTTCAACAATCCTACCAAAACTCCATGTCACCGACAGAAAAAATTAAGAAATTGTGTCCCTCCTATTAACTTAATTCCAAAACTACCCATTCCAAATCTCCTTTATGTAATATATATATTATTAGCAAACATTACTGTATCTTATGTACCATGAAGCTAAATACTCCCTCTCATTTCATCGCCGTAGACCCCGCAAATAGACACCACGTAGAGGGATCGTAGGCTCGAAGCACTCCATCGTATTTATTTCCAAAGTCCCGATATGGACCATATCCGCCTTTCAATAAAAACCTCCCACACACATGAAAATTCCAAAAATCCCATTTCCCATGTTTAAACAATCTTCTAATATCCCCATCAAATATCCTTCTTTACTTTTTCCTTTTCTTTTTTTCTTTTTCAATTTTTTTATTAATTTATGCACAATTTTAATTTTTTTTTTTCGTATTTCAAGTTAGTTTGGCGCATTAAGATGGACTGATCTACTTCTTGATTCCGATTGCAGACCCAATTTTCCTTCTAATAAAAAATACAAAAACAAATTACTTGCATGGAATTAAAATGTTTCAAGAAATTACATTTTCTTGACTCAATTTTTAAGAGCTCATCGAAGTTAAAATAAGTGTGAGTTTTTAATTGTAGGTAGCAAAACGAATAATACCTGCCAGTTATAAAGAGAGCCACCAGCAGACAATTATAGACGCGAAAAATTAATTAAATGCAAATTTTCTCACTAACCTTTCTGCTAGTGATGGAATCCTGGCCGACTGATACGCCTACTCTGTCGCTGATTAAATCTTTATTATTGCCAACGGCGTCGTTTGCGCTGCTGATACAACTCTCTGAATTAGTAGAATTACCGCTGTCAACGGTAAATTCGCTCTCAACAGTCCAGATTTTACTGTGACTGTTACTGCTGGAACTTGTTGAAATTCTGCTGGTCATTTGAACAGAAGATTTATCTCCTTCCTCTAAGAACTCACGGAACAGTCTCCACCCTCTGATCTCATTGCTTTCTTTACATTGACCATGATGATCAGCTGCTTTTCTCCAAAAGCTCTTCTTAAACAGCTTCCGTGAAAGGCTTCGAGGTAAAAGTTCTTTTCTGGATCTTGATGGTGACGAAGACTTCAGGGTGGAGTTGGAGGAGGGAAATGGTAGTAGTTTAACGGCGTTGATAACGGCAACTGATGCTTTTTGAAGAGCTGAGATTGTTGTAGAAGCTGCTTTTGACGATCTACTTCTTTTGGAAAGCTGCTTTTGGTGCTGCTGCTGCTGATGTTTGGTTTTGAGGTCGATTTCGAGGAGAAACCGGACGGTTGTGCAGCATTGACGACGAGGAAATGATTTGAAGCCGTTGGATGAGCATGAACTTAGATCATCAAGAAGATAATCTTTGAGCATCAAGGGTTTTGTTTCAATCGAAAAGGGTTTTTGTTTACAAGGAGGAGACGAGCTTATCTTAGAAGCCATTGTTATTTGAGAATTATAAGTTGAAAAAAGTTTAATCTAGCTAGGGTTTTAAAGCTTAAACAGTGAGGTAAATGATGGAAGGCCTAAACTGTGAAAAGGCTGCAAAAAGAGACAAAGAGGCATTTAAAGAGGGAAATATTACAAAGGTTGCATAAATTCACCAGCTATTGGATTGCAGCTTTTTAGCAGTGCAGACACTAAAAACTTACAGGGAGAGGGTGGGGTTTTTATAGGGAGCTCAGGTGATGTGAAAGAAAGAGGGAGGTGGGTTCCAAATGGTGAAGATCTCAATGAGAGAGTGAGAAGAGTTAAGAGAGTTACAGTTTTTGCAGAGGTAGAAGAAGCTTGGATGGTTCTTGATCTTGTGTGGGGTGTAGTTTTTTGAATCTTAAGCTTGGTTATTTTATTGCTTTGGTTTGTGTATTTAATGCATTTTTTGAATTTTATGAACTGGCTGTACTTTATAACCTAGCTAGTTAACTTAGAGGATAGTAATCTTTTTTTTTGACGTAGAAGGACAATTAACTTTCTCACACAAACAGGGACAGTTTCCGCTTTGTAGTCAACTATGTTGCTATTATAATCAGTGAAGATTAACATTATATATATACAAAGAGATTTGAAATCATCGAAAGATCAAAATAACATACAAAAGTGATTCTACATTATAATTGGATTTAATAAATAAATAACCGATTATATATTATGACTGCATGACGCTAGCTAGCACCACATACGTACGTAAACAGGGGTACTTCTATTTTTCTTTAAAACATGCCAAGGCACCCGGCACTTAAGTGCATCTACTTTTTCTTGCAGCATAACAACATTTATGAATGCACAGGTAGACTTTGTTTGACATGATGGATTGTTTTATTTATTTATTTTGAACGATATGAGATTTATTACTGGTGTGGTGATTTAGTTCTGGACGGGTACGAGAGACCAGCAGTTGACCTTGAAAAATCTTGAAAATGATAGTATTAGTTTATGCTGTCTTTCCATGCAAATTTGACTGACCATTTTTTACACTCTTTGGCACGTGTGCTTGTCCTTAAGTTCAGAAGAGCGGAAGCGTGAAAAATGATCTACTGTTAGATTTTCCTTTTTTTCTCAATTGTTTATTTTACGAGGAGCAATCGAGGGTCTTAAGAAGTTTCTTTTAAGGCCTTTGATTTTCTGATTAACTAATTAATGTAAGATTCTTTCATTCAGGGTCAGGAGGGTTTTCCATGACTGGTTTATTAATTATACGGCCTATCAGTTACCTATGTACAGTATCATCAACCTAGGATGCATAGATGGGGGATACATGGAACAGAAAAGGGCCAATTGCCCCCTCTACTTTTTCAAAAAATTCATAATTGCCCTTGTTAGTTTTAAGTCTAAATTTGCCCCTCTTCTTTCTAGACATCTACTCCTGCATTTTCTGGAACTTGTCCATCAGTCCATGACATTTATTATTTTATGAAAAAAAGAAGAAGTGATGTACAAGTAAATCTCGGATGGTGCGATTGTAACTAAAGCAATTCAAGTTTCAGTTATATGAATGTCAAAACCTGACTAGTTGGTTGTTGAACTGGTAACTAACCTTGTTTTATTGTAGGTCATTCCGATCTAACTATTGCTTGATTGAAAAAAGGTAGTTATGGATTAGCTAAGCTAATTTCATTGTTTGATATGTATTATGAAAAGAAAAAAAAGAATAATAATTTCATTGTTTGACATTAATCTGGGAGAGACTTATTGGGGACACTTGTAAGATGGACCATGGTACGGAAAACTGATGGTCTAACGGTTAAATAATAGAAGTAAACTTCTAATTAAAGTCATAAATAATTCATTAATAATGCACGAAATAATTTGAAAATGAATGGGGCACGCGTGCCTGATGATTCATAGATCATGATTTTGATTTTCCACCTGCAAACCGAAGAGGAAGCAGCATGAGTTTATCGACCTAGAAAAAAATAAAATAAAACAGCATGAGTATATGTTAACTATCCTCCGAAGGAAAAGTGAAAAACAACATGAGTACTTCACAAATTTTGAAGTTCCTTAGCTTTAGCTAGGACATGGCCTTGCCCACAAGGATGTGGTCCTTGCCACGATTTACGTACCCTGGGGATACCTAAATTGTCACTGGATTGAAGGCTTATTGAATACGAATATACATGTACTCCGAGGACAACTTCACTGTTGGCAAGGCCAATGTGCTAGCCATATTTCATTTTCTTTTCTCTCACTCAGTAAAAAGAAATTAGCATTTATCACTTAAATGGTTCAATGTTCCGAAAGTGTAATTTAATTAGAGGAGAATCTTGAATTATAACTCCACGTTCTTTTGACATAGAATTACATCCGAATTTGATTGAAGTTTGATATTTCTACCATTTGACTAAAGCCCAACGAAACTTTGATCACATAACCCCGGTCATTAAAAACCATTAATGCGTCCAATGTCAAACCCCACAAAACAAGCCTATTTATGTGAGAAGCCCAAAAGAATTTTATATTTAAAAGATAAAGACAGAGACAAAAAAACCTAATGCAAACAGAATTGCATCATGGGTAAAAAGTATGAGAAATCAAATCCTATTCAAGAAGAAAAGCTACTGAGAAAATAACTGATTTGAACTACTGGAGCATAAGACATTGAGCATCGAAATCCGAAACAAACATAAAACATTGCAGCCTAAGAAAAAAAATTATGAAACATTACAATTTAAAAACGTGGTTGGTAAAAAAGAGTGTAGGAAGATGTAAAAGTTACAAATACCAATTATAATAAAGAAATAACATGAAACAAACATCATATAATAACAATACTCTTATAAATTATCAGTATTATCTTTCAAATCATTTCAACACTTGAAATACAATAAACTATAGTTTGTAGCAATAATCAAGTAGGTTGTAATCGGTAGGTAATACTAGTAAGTTGATAGATCATCTCTAGTTCTATTGTCACTTCGTTACGACATACACATATCTTGCATCTTGATATTTGGAGTTCTAATTGGTGTTTGTTTATCGGTTTCTATGTCCGTAAGTTTTTATATTTTCAAAATCATTACTCGTTTGTAAAAAATTTTAAATTTTTATATTTATTGAGTTATTGTCGTTTGTAAAGATTTTTAATTCGAGTATCTATCATTTTTGTTTCTCTTCAACTTTGCAATCTATAATTCTCATACTTATTGTTAATTTTAGAATAATTGATTATTGTTAATTGCATAATTATTTAAATATTAGTTTTCACCTCTCATTCTTGCAATCTAGATTCCACAGGCAGCTTGGAACCCCTTCCAAGAGATTCCTACGTCATTACAATCCATTATAGGAAGTAGTTATGTTTTTTTTTAAAGTATTTGTTTTTAGGATCAAAAGTAGGATAATTTTGCTCAATAATTTTAGTTGTCTAATTTAGAGTCTAAAAAATAGGTTGTCTTCCAACCATCTTATAATCTTTTTGTTTCAAAGTTCTCCTTTTTTTTAAAAAAAAAAAAAAGTCCACAACATTATCGTATTCACATCAAGAATTTATCTATTTATGTATTTTATCCAAAATTTTGATTAAAAAATGGAAAAAAATGTTCATATTTAATGTTGGAGAGTGAATAAAAAATTATTATTTGAATTGAAATGATTTATTAACATGGAATTATAGGTTTTTTTTAATGAATAGGTCATGTGTTGAAATCCTTACATTTTCATTATTTATCTCTTCTAATTAAAAATTAATAGCATAGTCAAGCATAATTTAATATCAATTTATGTAAATTTTAAATTCAATGATTCGTGAGAGAAGAAATATATTAGGGAATCAATATAAACCCCTCCCAAACTTCATTATGCTGATTCAATTGTCACCGTACCATGAGAAATTAGACTATGAAACTTTTTTGCACCAGAAAATGAGAAACATCATATTTAATTAAATTATTTCTTGATTCCTTTATTTTTATTTCTTTTACAAAAAAAATGTAATTTCATTTATATTAATGATTATAAATTGCTATTATAATTTTCAAAAGACTCAAATAAAGATAATAAACATGAAAAGTGAATTTAGTCTAATGAAAATAAACTCGGCAAAAATAGTAACTATTGAAATTTCGAATAACATCTTGTCCTATTCATCTTATAAAACTCTTCACTTGAGTTTTCCGAGTATTTTCCTTTCAAACTATTAGGGATGGCGAGTGGGCAAGGTACAAAATGGGTACCCTACTCGGCCCGCTCATTAATTATCTTTTTAAAATACCTTAATGGGTAATGGATTAAATATGGGTAAAATAGTATTACCCATTTATGTTAATAGATAATTTATTCATGAACATGAGTACTTTTTTTTACCATATTAATACCCATTAATATAAAAAGTACTAAGACACAAAATTTTAAAATAAACAAAAAAAAAAGGAGAAAAAAGTATGTAATTAATTATTCGGATGGTTTCGTTGATATTATTATTATTATTGTTTATATATTAAAAAAAATAGTATTTTTAAGGCACTTATGTAATTAATTACGGTTTCGTTGATATTATTATTATTTATCATTCGGTTTAACATTTATCCAAACAATCACACACGCAATTTGATCGGTGAATCTCTCTATGTTATTATTATTATAATTATAATTTGTGAATTATTCTTCGCAAATCTTATTATTAATATTACTCTTAATATGGATTAATAGCCTACTTTTCTTTTTTTCTTTTTTTTTTTTTAATCTTATTGGTCAAGTCAATCTAAACATTATCGTGAATAATATTTATTCACAACTCAATTATCAGATTTTGGACATTATTATCACGGTAATATTACTACCGTACTTGAGATTTTTTGATATTATATATACTTGACGGTCAATATCTTAAGTTACTTAATTAATTATACGTAAATAATAATAATAATAATAAATAAATAAATAAATAAAGTGATGTTATTGCTCGATTTCTTTCCTTCCAAATGATCCGTGGTCATGAAACGTAC